GGGCAGGAGCTTCCCTGGCTTGGGAGGGGCTCAAACCAGCTCCGATCCTGGAGAAAGAGGCCCGGATGAAGCCAGGAGAACCTCCAGCTCCAGCAGCTTCCCAGCCACGGAAGAAGCTCTCCGGGGGAAGCACGAATAGGGGGTCTCCGAGGGGTCCCCTCCATCTGGCAGGGCTTGGAGAGATTGAGGAGGAGGGGGGTCCTGCCTCTTCCCCTCCCTGGGATCGACCCACCCTCCTCCCGAACCAGTTCTGGGTGTAGACCTAAACTAGCCTGGATGGTCAATCCGGAAGCAGGGGAGGCCTCAATCTGGGGAGGGGGAGGGGAGAAGGGAGGACTCTCTGGGGAGGACAGGAAAGAGGAGGAGGAAGAGGAAAGAAGGAGGAATTCCAGGGTTTTTCTACAATTTAAATTTTATTCTTTTATAGCAAAGGGAAGGGATTCGGAGGAAGATTAATGTAGAATAGATGGAGCTGCTGTGAGTTCAAAGTTGGGAGAGATTTGGGGCTCTGGATGGACAGGCAGGCCCAGAGTCTCTGGGGTCAGTCTAGATAGTCTCCACCCCTCCCTCACTAGAAAGAGTGGACTTCAAAGGAAAGCCAGGGAGGTCTCCACAGGAGAAGCTCCAGGCTGCCATTCTCCTCCTCTCCCTAATCTAAAATCTTCAGCCTCCATTTTTCAGAGGTTGCAAAAAAGAGACAGAAATTCATCAGCTACTGAAAAAAAAATATTTCCCATCAGGAATCAGGAAGGACAGCAGGATTAATTCATGAGTTCTGTAGAAAAAGAGATAGGAAAGAAAATTAGAATACAAAGTGAAACCTTCAATGTAAATAACTTATTATTCCCCTCTTTCAGCCTTCCCACTCCTGACAGGCCCACATTGCAGGGGGGTGGTTGAATGGCAGACACAGGATGGAGGGAGGCTCCGCCCCTTTCAGGGACAAAAAGGATCCAAAGGACCAGTGATTAATCTCCCGGGGCTGATGGAATTTTCCCCAAATGATTTAATTAGGGGGTTGATCAAGAGATGAGGCCTCCCCCCACCAGATGTTTCATATTAAGAAAGATGGTGGGGCCAGGATGGGGCGTGGCAGCAAAGCCAGGTGTCACTTTGCCAGAAATTGCATGAAATGACACAAGGATACTTCAATTAAGGAATGTTAAAGAAGCATCTATAACTTGGGGAGAAACTCACCTGCAGGAGGCTGGATGGGAGTTGCTGAAAGGAGAAAAAGAGCCAATCAGGACCATTCATGGGCTGGAGGACTCAGGAGGCCCCTCCCCATTGATAGCCCATAATAGGTTGCAGGATGCTCACTTATACAGTAGACTCTCAAAGAACAGAATTTCCCAAGCAAATTTCCCAGGGGAGCCTCCTTGCCATCTGCTAAGCTTGCTGAGAGGCCTCCCCTGGAGGGTCCCCTCCCCACAATCTCTCATCCAGCCCCCCAGACTCACCTGTCTTGCTCTTCAGGTAGAGGAAGAGCCCCATGGCAAAGAAGATCACCCCAATCATGGCTGCCACGATCCCCGTCCAGAGTTTGCTCCTGGCAGAGTTGGAGGAACGGGGCTCTGGGGAAGGAGAAGGAGCCTCCCCTGAGCAGGAGGATCAGGGCCAGCTTCCCCCCCCCGCAGGAGGATCCATCCAAGCTCCCCTCACAGGGAGGGTCTCTCTCCCCCCTTCTCAGGGCAGGATGGGGTCCCCAGACCAGGAGGGGAGGGAGGGCAGGGGCTCACCCCACTGGACGGTGATGGGAGCCTCCAGGCTGGCGTGCCCCACCTGGCAGGTGTAGATGTCCCCCCGCTGGGGCTGGGTCTCCAGCATCACCTGGAGCTGGTAGGTCCAGTCTCCATTCTGGAGCTCCTCCCCGAAGGCCACGCCCTCCTCCTCCGGCCGCCCGTTCTTCAGCCACCGGACCTCGATCTCCACAGGATAGAAGCCCCTGGCGGTGCAGAGGAGGATGGTGTGGGGGGAAGTGGGGTCTAGCTTGGTGGGGGAGATGGAGATGGTGGGTTTGGCTGGAAGGGAGGAGGGACATGGGGGAGACACAGGAGGGGCCAGAACAGGAGACCAAGTTGGTTAGTTCAGGCCAAGAGCCCTTTTCAGTCCTGAAAATATTATTTGTTTTAAGTCATTTCCAAAGCAAATTGCAGCAAGAAGTTAAATGGGATTCTCAAAGATGG